TTCCTGCTACATATTGCAGTAGTTAAGGAATCAATGCTTCTTGGAAAAAGAAAAAAAGACCACAAAACAAACCCCAACCCAACATGTATTCTATGCTACACGTGTCTCTCCATTTTTTTTGCAGTGCAAATTTCTTGGGGTCTTTCAATAACTATTCAAGCTCTGCTGTCACTGTCCAAACAGCCCCTTCATAAGGCATTAAGGCTCAGAAAACCCAGCTTCAACTCGTGTCATTGTAACATTTCTTTCAAGACCTCAAGCACAGCCACTTAGGGCCTCCTGCTCTCCACGTATAAAATGGAGATGATACGACTTCGCTCTCTCTCAAAAGGGTCGCTGTGAACAAACACATTTAAATTTGTGAAACGTGCCTGTAAGAAGCTAATGGGTCCTGCATATATGCCATGCAGAAAAAGATTTTGCAGTTACCATGTTGCATCACTTTTTCCACCACAACCAGCCCCAAACAAGCTACCGCAGCCTAACTAAGTCCCCCCAGGGTGTGCTTCCACAGCTGCTGAAACAAATTTAAGGTTAGGGCTCTTGCTGGGTCCCAGCCTCTCCCTGTCCCATGTGGTCTCAAGGCTGATTCCTAAGGGAGCTGGTTCAGGGAACCAAACTTGAAGAAAGTAATTCTGCTGAAAGACAGTCAACGGCCTTCCATCAGTTAAGTGTCTGAACTGGTCCAAGCTTCAGCAGTGGAACACAGGACGTGACTACCCCACAGGACAGGGAATACAGAGCTGTTGTTGGCAAGAACAGATCTGTCAAGTCGGCTTTACAACAGCCACCCTCTTACTAGTGCTTCAGACTGTAAACAGAGCTTCCAACGCTCAAGAGCTCAAGCAATCGCAGTTAAAAACAACTTGGCGTTTTAGTATTTGCCACTACAACCAGATCCACACACAATGATTAACCACCAGAGATTCACAGAAACTACCAACACCAAGCAAGATAGATGTTTCTTAAAATGCTAGAACTGCATTAGTTTCCAACACAACTATACTAACACAAAAGGGACTGAGACTACAAGCGGCTTCATGTTTTACCACAACAGCTCCAGATACTCACTGGCACCTCAGAGGTTCTGCATTTGGTCTCCACTAATATCAATGGTAAGAAAAGGCACTACTGTAGTACTGGAGTGCCTTTGCAGATCAGTAAGAATCACACAGCCACAAAACTATTTCTAGGAAGCGACTGCAGTGTGTTCTCTACATGCAGACTTTATCTTGTTTAGCACGGGTTATTAACTCTGCCTCGGCAGCGTTTATCAGCGTGAGACGTGCCGTCAGAGCTGCAGCACATCTTACCTGGACACGATGCTGGAGCCATTGTAGAGGTCACTGGCGTAAGAGAGCGTCGCCAGGGGTCGGACAGAATTGTAGCGCGTGAACTTGGATAGACACTCCTGAAACTCATCCAGCTGGCTTGTGGTTCTGCTGTCATCTAGGGAGAGGCAGCAACATTGGGGAGGACAGAAACAAAGAGAGAAGATAAACAGCAAATAAACAAACAAACAAAACTAAATATGTATATCCTCACAGGACACTATTGCTTGCTATTTGGGCAGGACTCCTGATCAAAACCAGGTTCTCTCTCACCTCTAGCACTCCCTGAAGGCAGTATGATTTTTCAGAGTACAAATTAAGTCTTTTCACTTTAACACTGGGTGAACCTAACTGTACTGAGAATCTGCCTGGAGATCACAAATACAGCTTACCTGGTAAGCTTATTTATTTTATTCAAATTCAGAGCCCATGGGTCATATAGATTAACAGAAAATCTTTAAGCGTATCAAAATGCACTGTGAAGAACACATCTGGTTTTCTACAGAGGTGAAAGTATGTTTCTCTCCCTATACTTGTGCTACAGTATGCCTACATTTGGCATCAGTTATATTCAGAACACTTAGTAAAAAAATATTGATCTTGTTACTCCAAAAGCAGAGCTGTTTCAGTGCTGAAGAAGGAAGACAAGCATGAAACCAGAAGACTCCTCATACTGTTAAGTTTTTTGAAAAACATGACCTTCAGCAGACAAGGTGAAATCGAGCCAGCTTGAATAACGATGATAAATATTCTGAGGGAAACGGAACAGTTTACTACAAAAGGTAAAACTGAATTGAATTGTAAGTAGTCAAAAGTCATTCCTTGATTTTTCAGAAGTCCCAATCTTTTTCTGGCCTGAACAGAATTTCACTTAAACCATTCTGAAATTCAGTACTTCCTAAATAAGGAAAAATTTTTAACTTGGGCGGCACTGCATGGGCAAGTCAGGGTTCCTAATATGATCATACACCTGCAGTCAAACATTAGGCAGAGCCTTCAGGCTTTGTAATAACCCCCAGAATTTGCAGCAGTCCTCACTTCCCTCCTCTAACGCTCCCAATCCTCATTCTGTCTTTTTGCTCCAGTTACGGGAGCTGCCCTTTCTGGCTGCTCCCGCAGCACTAACACACAGCACCTGCGCTTCCAGGCACCGCTCACCTCGTCTCCTGTTAAACTCAGTATCTGCTGCAGCATCAGAGAAGCCACACACACGACTTGTACAGCCGAGATCAAATCCCACCCACTAAGATATCCTTTTTTTTGTCTTATCAGCAGCATAAGGGAACAAAGCTCCACTTATCAGAAAGCTTTGGAAATGCTGGGGTGAAAAAGGGAGGAGGTTGATCTATCAAAGCAAAATACAGCTGTGATTTCTTGTGGGAAAACATGAGAGAATAATCACTTTCTGCACCCTGGTAATTCCTTGCCATCACAAATTATCATCCTGCTCTACACTTGTAAGGCATTTTGAAGTGTCCCTTACACGCTATTTAATGTTTGATCACATAGAGGAACAGTGAAGGCTAGTAATTAGCATGTTTAAGGGTACTAGCATATACATTAGCCATGTCGGATGGATCAAAAGGGGCAAAATGAACAAAGTGCTGCGCCAAATTAAAATCATCAGCACCTGACCACCACAGGAAACGGTTTGAGAAAAAGCACATAAACATCAGTGTTTTTCAAAGACTCATTCAGCGCTCTGATAGGAACAAATAGCTGCTGCTTTTCCATCTCCCCTATTTAGAGATCAAGCACACAGTCCTCGTACAATTTATTCTGTATCTGTGCCTGGAAAACCGAGTGTTATTTCTCAAGACACTTTTCCCGTCAAAGCACAAGGCCATTTCATAATTACAGTTATATTATGTCTCTGCTCCCTGCTAGAACAGTCACAGCAACTTGCAAAAAGCTCTAAATCCACATTAAATCCTATTTAAAATGTGTCAGAAAACAGAAATGACTTAAGAGGAGAAAACTTAATCAAGTATCACAGGTTATTCCTTATTTATGAGGAAAACCTGTGCTTGCAAATCCTCCGCTTGGTGCGGCTGACACATATGAATACAAAAAGCAGCTTCACCGCATTCATATTTATAGTTCCAATTATGAAGAAAGATGTCTTCTACAAGGGAATGCTGGGAAAAGCCCCATTTGTTATCCTCGGTTAATAAGTATTATTTTAAGATAAACAGTTATGCATCACCAAGATAGCACTGCATGAAAACATCTTGGTCTGGTCCGTGAAGTGCTGTGTTCTGTAAAGCACTTGCTGGCACTTCACAGGAAATTGGCTGGTCACACACAACCAGCTCAGGATGAGAACCGAGTCAGTCACTGCTCTGAAGTAGGTAGAAGATGTAGACATATCTAAAAGTGAGCTCCCCTAAAAGAAGTTGCAGTCTTTACACTTAAAACCAATTTTTAATTAAAAAAAATAAAAAAGTTGATTTTTAAAGTGAATAAGACAAAAAAAAAAAAATCATAGAGAAAAAACTCCAGGGGTTTTCTACCCCAGCTCCCTTCCTAATCTCTGTCCTTGGAAGTTGGTCCTTACCTTTCAAGGCTACAAGTAAAGATCCTCTGCTGCATCAGCCTCTCCTTGGTTACCCCTTGTCCCTCGGAGGTTTCTCCCACCCCCTGAGGCCTTGCTGCTCCTCGCTGCAGTCTGTCACCTCTCCTGTGAGCTGCAGCTGGCAGCCTGGTGCTGCAAGTCTCTAGCCTGGCCACAGCCCATTACCTGAAACTTTCTTCCCCCTCAAGCTGGTTTCCTCCCCGGGGGTTGTAGAGTAACCCTCCTCCCTCTCAAGACATCCACTTGACCCATTCATTTCTTGAGAGAATCTTGTCATGTAATTACGGGCCATCCATCCACTAGGCAACAATTACTCTAGTGCTGTCACACTGTTACTCAATTATGAATGAGGCAATCCCAGCAATTGTGAAAACATCTTTAATTCTACAAAACAAGCCTTAAACCTGAGGCGTGTCCCCCGGGACAACACCACTGCTGCCCACTCAGCTCCCATACCCCAAGCCATTTGTTAACCAAGACTCATTCTAGACAACACAAAGCATAACCTCCAAGTGTCCTATTCCACGCTAAATACAGTGGAAATGATCAATTCACATTTATGCCTCCGTAGTATTGCAACAGCAATGGTTTTAGCTACTGTGTTTATACCGTATCTAGTAGAAAGACAACGCAAGCGCTGCTTTCAAGCATTTGCATCTTCAGAGCGAGTATCAGTGAAATTGGTTATTGTAGGTTGTGCCCTTCACAGTACAGGATTACAAAGCAATACACGTGCCCCTCCTAAGTGACAGGATCAAATTCTCTAAATTTAGCAACTTCAAAGACTGGTCAAGAAAAGCAAAACAGGATGATCTGAGTAGCACACAAATATGTATAGCTACGCTCCCCAGCAAGGAAGAAGCAAAGCTGCTCTCCCCAAAGCAAGTCTTTTCTGAGGACTAGGCACTGACGCCAGAAGCTGAACACTGTGCAAGAGGAACTCACCCGAGACACGTGTCATCCTGGTGGAAAAATAGCACTGCTCTAGGTCCTCAAAATGAGCCGTGAGCCGCTTGCGTCGTGAAGCCAGTGTGCTGTTATACCATGGCTGCTTTTTGGTCTGAATGGAGAAGTGAGAACACATCAGAATGGTAAAGCCAGGCCTGGGTTTCATTTCAACACATTTTACCAAATTATAAATTTCCTATTATACATGAAGGGTCAGAAGTGTAAAATGACAATAAATCAAGATCTTGCCACTGCCAACAGTTATTCTTAGGGTCCTATTTTGCACCTTTAACTTGACAACAAGAAAAGCTGCTTCTAGACAGTTCTCATTTCCTGAACTTTGCAAATTTATCAGCACAGCAGCAACCCTTGGGGAGTCACGTCTTGCATTTATACAGATAGACGGCAGAGGCCAAAGATAACCTGCGTCCAGCTTCACAAATCAAACAGAGTGTACAACCAATACTTCCCTGGCAGACAGCTCATTAAAAAGAGCTGTTTATTTTAAAGAGTTAGTTACTGCATTATTTCTTTTGAAGCAACTCAGTAACTCTCTGTCAAGTAAGCAAATAAGGAGAGAAGCAGAAGACACTGTGAAGCTCAAAGGTTAATTGAAAAGAAGTCTGTGAAACTCATCATTAAAGCCACTTCCCAACCTACCCAAGCAGGTTAGAAGCAAAAAGATTGAAATGATGGAAGTAAGCTTTCCTCCTGAAACAAAAGCAAAAATGCAGTATTTCTCATTTTAATCACTAGCAAGGAACGGGAACAAACTCCTCTGCTACCCAAGAAGCATGAAAAGCACCTTGCTTCAGTTTATATTTAAGAAGTCTCATTTATCACATATTCAAATCCAACAGACAAATTTTAGAAGACTGAAGAACCACAAAGCTCCCTAAACCATTTCCCTGACCACATACAACTCCCCCTCAATCCATGCGGGAGACCAGACAGCCCTCATTGTAACCACCAAGCAAGCCAACAAGAACAAACTGAGTTTACATCTCTCTCAAATTCTGCTTAGATCCATATGAACATCAATTTCACATTTTAGGGGAAAAGCAAACCCTAAGCAATGAAAGCCCCAGGCACGGCTTCCCACTCGAGGTCCCTGGCTGTACGTGGACATCAGGCACGCTGACAGCGTGTACAGTCTGTACAGCCCGTTTCATCTCAAAAGCAACTCCAACCTCAACACTAAACTGGAATGCTGGCAAGCACTCCTCCTCCAAAGCCTTTTAACTACCATTTTCTAAAGTTTCACAGCTTTAAGAAACGTTTAACAGAACACTGCTATGGCATCTTCCCATTACTTTTGCACACCGGCCTGCAAGGGCTCTGGCCTCTCTCAGCACGTCAGGGGTGATGAGGGCTCAGGATGACCTCAAAGGGCGTCAAAGAGCAACCACTTCAGTCTCAGATTAAGACAGGCTGCATGCGAGATGATGGGCAATATAACCCAAGCCCGAGGCTGATCTGCTAGATAAGCCCAGCTGACATCGGGACGGAATTGATCGTGGTGAGTATTTGCCTGCTGTGCAGTTACCTTCTGGGTCTTCTGCAGAGGAAGATCCTCCCCCAGAGCAGGTGTCGGGATGGCACATGGTGACCCAGCTGTGCTGGGAAGCAAACTGCATTAACCCACCTTCACCAGATCCTCCCCAGATCCTCCCCAGCTGAGCATTTTAAACTGCTCAAGCTTTACCAAAGCATTTATTCAGTTTCTATGAAATCTGCTTCCGCACTACTTGTTAAGCAATGCTGACAAACAGGAGGTGAGGGGCAGGGAAAAAAGGGAAAAGATAAAACATACAGAAGCAATTTTTATTCAACTTCTAAAACAACTACCGCTGTCCTAGCTGAGGACATTAGTTTGGATTACTTTGTTATCAAGACTGATTTCACTCTCTGAACTCAGGTGCTCTAAAGAGTCCTCCAAAAACTGTGTAAAAGCTTCATAACTACACATAAGCTCCCTATTTCTAGCAGAAAAGAAAGGTACTGTCACTACACACACTACATCCGCAGAACTGCCCAGGGCCTGGGCAACTTGTCCACTACTTACTTTCAACACTCAGCTTCTGGCCTTGCAGTATATAAATTCTGCCCTAAGCACATGTTTGTGAGCAATGCACAAGGTAATTACATCAAGAAAGCAAGCTATGCCGTGCAGCCTCACACAGCTTCTTACTGAGAGCAGTGCCCAATCGTTGATTTTTGCCATGACTGACAATTAGAAAAAACACAATTGGATTTGTATTCTTAAAACTATTTTTAGGGTAAAGTATTGCTGAAATCAGACTACCTTTGAACAAACTGTTTAACTTGAAGAATCCTTTCAACTCCAAGAATCCTTTCAACTCCATAGTCAAACATATATTAAAGTTTAATTCAAAAACTTGCACTAGAGAGTAGAAATCTGGCACTCTTGAGGACAAGAAATTGCATTTGATGATAAAGTATTATTCTCACACAAATAAGGCTGTCATACAGAGGGACTAGGAAGTCTAGGTTGTTTGTTTTGTGCACTTACCAACAGTATAGCTATGCTATTAATTTTGTCTTTGAAATAGAAAGAAAAGTACTGAGACAAGTAGTGTCAGCGGAGAACAAAACACACTGTACCACATCACTCCTGAAGGTAAAATCTCCACCCACATTTCCCTTGCTCTCTGAAGTGAGGTAGAGAAACAGTTCTTTGTTCAAGCAAAAGCCTCCCAAGACCACGGTACCAGGAACAACAAGCATTTTCCCCACAGACCAACAGACAGAATTTTCTAGTTAACAATTACTTACACGGCTCCAAACCCAAAAAACCTGCATGCACACATATATGCCCATTGGCCCAAAAATAAGGTTCTTCTTTGCATCAGCTACTCCATCAAATAAGATCCAACAGCACTTCTACATGTTAATTTACCAGTTCCATGCTGCTGTGTGCCATGGCCGGGCCACTGCCACCAGAGAGCACCAAAGGCGTGAGCTGGCACATAACCAATCCTCCTACCCACCTGGATCAAAACTGGTTTTACCCTCTGTGTGGATTTCCAATGCAGTTTGTAAGGTCCTAAATAAGGACAAACTACAAAATGGCTGTATGTTTGGAGAACGAATGTTTCTCGTTTTGAGAGTCAAGCTTGATCCAAAGTTATTTAAGTCAATGCAAAGGGTCAGGGATTTACCTCCTTTCCCTAGTGCTGCCCACTTGGGAGAAGAGATAAAGAGCAAAAGATAACTCCACTTGCTCAAAAGCCCGACCTCTGAGAACAAAGTCAGATGTCTAAACACATTGCACCAGATTTCTTCGATGGTGTCAGGGTGGACAGTCACAATCATGAACAGTCATTCCTACAGCTGCAGTCTTGGCTCAGGTTTGCCCATATAAACCAGTTAAAAGCACTTGCAAGGCTTGAGGTGACCCTGGAGCTGGACACAGTTGTGCCCAATCTCTGCCCAACCTCCACACTGACTCTCCCGACCCCACGGTGCACAGACACACGTATTACCTTACCTGGGAACTGCCACTGAAGCCTGGAGGCTGGCTATACTCTGTGGAGTCGATAATACTACTGCAAAACCAAAAGAAATAGTCTGCTTAAATTACTGCACAACCACCCCTTGCAATTCTTCACCAGTTTGCTATTCCCCCCTTTACATCCTGCAGCGTATTTGCTTTTGAAAGTCATTTTAGACAGGAAACACAAGGTTATTTTTCATTTGTGGGCTTGAGAGGAATTTTTTTTTCTTAAATATAGGGATCTCCTAGAGCAAAATGCTGTCACACACAGTTATGTGCAATGCAATCGAATAATTTCTGATTAGAATGCAAAAGCATATCTTCGGTATGAAATATGCAGGATAAGACATTCTGACAATAACATGCTACCATCAGTTTTCAGTTCGTTTTTAAAAAAAAGTTTAATGCCATGGCATTTGAAATAGCACTCTCAAGAGAAAGGCTAAAGAAATCAGCTTAAGACAGCCTGTCGTGGGTTAAGGCTGGGCCAGCCACTAGTAGTCCAAGACATCTCTGAACGTACACACAAGAGACACACACAATGAAATCCAGAAATAAATGAAAAAATAGCTGAGATTACTCTTATTAGAAAATATTACACCATATATAGGTTCATAGTATCTATACTGACACAACATATCTTAAATCTCTGTTTTTCAAAACACTGCACACATACACAAACTCAGGAGATTTTAACTTTCAGAAATGCAAAAGGATCTACTGACAATAAGCAGAAGACAGATGGTTCAGTATTCTTGCACACATGGGCAAAATATTTAGCTCTCGCAGCAAGACACCAGAGCCAGGTTAAAGCACCCTTAAAACTCAAATTTAAAATACTTGTAGGACAAGTAAAGGTTAGTACACAATTCATTTCTAAAAGTCTTTATCACTCCCTTCTGCTATGTGCTGTGGCTTGGGCAGAGAAGAAACCTATCTGGGTTCATAAATCTTGCTTACAGGGTAACCTCAGAGTTGAGCATTGCTTGGAAAGCTGATGGTTTCTCTAAAAAGCTTCCAGAACACTGACAGAGGTCCCATTTCGTCAAAGACGATTGTACATATTGATGTTTATGTAACAGCTGCCAGCACCGATACGCAGACTTGACATTTTGGTCATAAAACAAGCGGTTTGGCTGAAACGCCAGCCAGGGCACCTGTAAGTCTAGAAGGGTGAAACAGCGGTACTAGTGCTTAAGCATTTTCTGAATGTTTTAAAGCTCCCCTGGAAGAGGAAAGAAGTAGAAACAGAAGATGTTTTTAAGTCTCATTAGTGGTTAACTTCTAAGATGAGATTGATTTGGCTTCTGTTACAGGCAAGACAGAAGCTGCAAACCAAGAAAAGCTGAAGGATAAAAATCATTATTTGCTGCAAGTTATTGCACGGGAGAAAACAGTGGAACCATTTCAGGCCTGGTTGGGGACAATGAGCTCGAAACATGGCCACATGAAATAAAACGCACACAGCAGATCCTGCCGGGAAAGCACGAGTAAGACTCGGATGGGAAGCGATGAAGAAGGGCTCCACTCCGAGACAGGTACAGGAGCAATTAACAGCAAAACACAGAGACTTATAGTGTCTGGTCTCGGTTTGCTGCGGGTTGTCTGGTGATATAAAGCCTTCAAGAGCACAGACGTCATCTCCCTAACCAGAATACAAATTCCAAGTGTTTTCTGTGCAGTGCCTGTAGCCGGTTAACTGCCACACGCTCAAACACCCTCCCTTTTAGAAACAGGCTGCAAATCATTAGAAAATGACAAAAATTGCCTCTGAATTCTTTTTAAAAAGCTGTCAACATTAGGTTCAATTAGGAACTTCAGCTACACTGACATGACATATTTAAAAACCTGGAACAGCAACAACACAAATGCAGCAACCTGCAGGCCATAAATCCCACTTGTTACACCCTTACGGGGGCGGGAGGGGGTAATTAGAACAAATGGAGGGGAAGGAGATCAGGCTTTCGGCAACTGAATCAGAGTTACCAGGCAACTAATTTTTAGATCAGAATCTTTCCCCAGAAACTCCTATTAGAGCAATAGCTTGTTATTGCTGTTAGTGCCTGGATATGGAGGCACGGGGAGGTTGCTTTTTTGTATCTCCTGTTTTTGCACCATTTTCCAATAGCAAAAATAGCACACGCGCCCGCTCACAGAACTATTTGTTCTCTTCCCTTATTCTTTCCCGCGGTCTCTATTAGTATACAAGCCCAACAATCCGCAACCCTGTAAACAAGTGCTGTGCTATTACCCAATTTAATATTTCATCATCCCCTGTACCGGCATAAGGGAAAACACGTGTTTCTTGAAGCTGAGAACGTATTGAACATGATAGCTGTATTCGTTCTTTTGCCGAAGAACTTAAGGAAGATGGGGGGAGGCACAGTAATTTCACAGTTCAAAGATATTAAGAGCATGGGGTGGAAAAGAAAAAGCTACAAACAGTGAAAAGAAACAGAGAATTAATAAAGCAAGCCTGTGATTTGGAGGAAATAGGTGAATAAGGGTAAGTCATTAGAGATCAGATAAAATCAAACTCCAGAAGAATTCTATTTTCTTGAACTTAAGATTCAAAGGCTAAAGAGATTTTTTTTCCCCAATCTCAGCACAGGTCTATGATAACCTTGTACTATTTAGAAGACATATTAGCAAAATTTCATACAATTATATTTCATTAGCTGAGTGTTAAGCATGTTAACAAGTCATATTCCCATTTAAACACACTACTTTAATTCACTGATAAAAAGTCACTGCAAGTTTAATAACATTTTAACATGGAAGGGAAACCACCTCAAAGTATATTTGTATTTCATCCTTAGTGGTTCACAGCATCTCTAAAATGGACTTTGGAAATTAAGTATTTTAGCTAACAGAACTGAGAAAACAATGTATTTTAAAGCTCCTATCAGCTGTCCTCCAGCATTCTTTCCAAGGAGGAATCAAAGTTACAGTTTTGAGATACTCCCTCAAACCTACATTTAATGATGCCAAGAAAATGAATTTTAAGTGGTAGACCTTTCCAGAACCAGAGTTCTGGTAATTCACACCAATTCAGTTACTCAGATTACACAAACTCTCAGGATAGGGTGGGGACAGAAGTTACAACTGATGCCTATTTAGATACTTGCTTCATATGCTAGTTCCTCTTCAACCACTCAAGACTAGTTCTTAGCACAGGAATGTCATTAAGAAACAGAAGAGGAGTCTTCTCAACCCCACATACCCTAGAAAACCTTTAAATATCCTATTGTATCACACCCCTGGCATGCTGTGCCAGAGGAAAGACCCAGAAGTTCAATACACAGCCAAGACTGAACCCAGTAAGACAACTGGGTAAGAAAGGGAGCCCATGGTCTGCCCCCATGGTGGTCTAACCCCAGCAACCTCCCAGCAGACCTCAGATGAAGGGCATCAATCTAAAGATGTTTTAGACACCATCTCACATCTTCAAAAGCAAGAATTGAGAATAACTGACCCTAGAACATGAAATAAACAGGTATAAAGGAATAAGAAATTCTCAGCAGACTGAAACCAGCATAGGTCTCACAGCAGGTTCCTTCTCCCCGCCCCCCAACTCCTTCACCAAAACTCTTGGGGTTGAAATGTTATTTCAGCTTTCAAGAGACAAAAAAAAGTTCTTTGGGAGCTCATCTGTCAGCTTGGCTCAAGTCAGAGAGATAGCGTTTCTATTCGTAAGTACAATGTCCTGTTAAAAAATGTTTCTAGTCCTGAAAACATTCAATGTCTAACAAACTCAGCCCAACCAGTGCTCAAGTTTTCCCCAAGCAGCAGCACCACACAGCAAACCACAAGCAATCTCTTTAACAGCCAAGAACCAGAAACCTCGTGCAACCTGACAAGAATCTCAGCAGCTTCACAAAACTGCTGCTTGGCAAAATAGCAATAACCCAAGTCAAAACACACACCTGCGCCCAAAAATATTAAACAAGCACTGAAGAGAAGAATAACACTCTCCTCATCTATCTCGGCCATATCCCTGCCTTTTCCCTGAGGGCCAGCCAGAGCTACACAGAAATATGAGAGATTCTGGGCTCAGTGTCTAGAAATAGCAACTTGGTAAGAAATGCCAGCCAATATGGCCAGGCTCTGCACCAGAGCGCTGTATCTACACCTCTGTGGCAGGGAAACTTGATTGTTTTTTCTTACTTACTTCTGGGCTATTAGGTTTAGAGCTGCTAATTGCAGAAAAGGTACCAGCACAATTTTATAACAAAAGTCAATGAGCATAGAGAACTCAACTACTAAGAGGCAGGAGGGACAACCATTTAATAACGTAACTTGGCCCTGTGAAATCAGACAGCAACCAAAAAGCACGGCTATAAAGAAGCAGAGCGCTTCAAACTCTGGCACACGCAACTTGGACAAAAGAAGCATCTGCAATTTTATCATCAAGAAACTAGACTACACAATATCCCAGACAAAAATTCACATTGAAAATATGTTATTAGAAAGGCATTTCATGAAATCAAAACAGACAGCAGATAAACAGAATCAATAGGCTGTACATTTTAAGTTTGGATGCCGTCAGCCCATGCCTTTGGCTATTCACACTGAGTGGGGAAGCCAGAGGACACCAGTGTCATACAAAATTAAGACATTTCATAGGCCAGACAGAACTGCGTAACGTTCAGAAAAGGTAGCATGTATTTAACAGTTATATTTCATACCACTGTGAAGGCTTAGTGTACGTTAACTAATCCACAGTACACTTAAAACTATCAGGTTTCCCCAGCAGCTAGCTTGGAATCAACTTTTCACGCAACTCCAGCCTTTGATGGCTTTTTCCTCACTGCCTTGTTCACAAAGTTTATAGCAATAAAGCAGCAGCACAAAGAAGTACCAGACAGCACTCAAAAACTAGTTTAGCTTGTGTTCTGCGCATGGCACTGAGAGGACTAGCGAGCAGAGTGCAGTACGTACAGCCTGACGTCCAGGTTCCATACCTGTGTGAGGGGGAGGGAGCCTCAAACTGCGGCACCGTACTGTCCTCACTCACTGGCGAGTACAAGCCACTCATTTCCTGAAATAAAAAGTCAGGTTACAGCAACGCTGGCAAAACAAACAGGAGGCAGTCTAACACACATTGTTCACGTAGATTTTTCTTATTTTTGATTTTTCCAAGTAGATAACCAACCATATGTACATTTATTCAACTCTCACCTAGAAGTCATCGTTATACTTCAAGAAATACCGATTTTCTTGGATTTTTTTTTCTTGGGGGGGTTATTGTTCCAACTGAGTTTCAAAAAAATCCTACAATTGCAGCGCAGTTCTGGAGTTTATACTTGAAAAAGCAGTGGATTTTGGTTACCACCCAAGTGTCTCTAAGCCAACGCCTCCCTCAACCATGGCAGAACAAGCAAGCTGTAACCACATTGGAGATACGTGCAGACTCACCTAACAGGCTTTGCAGCCGAGAACTTGTGCTGGATATGGGTCACGGCAAGAACAGACAGGGCAAAGGTGGTATCATGCCCCAGACCTTAAGAAAAGGGATCTATCGCTCTTCTGCGGGGCAAGTGCACAAGAGACAAATTTTGTGGATAAACTTGGCTTTGTCGCTGCCAGACTAAATCACTGCTGTGTGCCCAGTGTGCGGCTGTTTCTTTCATCCGTCTGAGAAATGGAAGCTATGCAGGATACTGCAGCTCATTAGTTAGGGGGGCAAAGTGTTCCAGGGCAACATCACTGCTGCTTTTTCAAATTCCCACTAGGTGTCCATTAGCTGTTACACAGAAAGTAGGGTATTTGTGACAAGAGAGAGCCCGGGCTTTAGAGGTCAGAGCCAAGGTCACCCTCATCCACCAGATATGAATCCCCACCTGCAGGCCACTGAAGTGCCTGATTAAAGAGCATAAAAGCAGGTACCTACATATTCTTTGAGGGATGCCAGCAGCTTTGGGAATAGCTCCTCCTACAGCTGCAGATCTATTTTACCAGGCTCAAGGAAACATGCTAAGGTATACTTATTTCCCAAGAGCTGAGGAACAGTCAGAGAAATAGGTTTGAAAAATGACATTATGTACCCCGAGTTACAATTTGCATAGCTATCAGCTGAAGGGAAATTCCTGCAATTGTTGGCTCTATTTATATTTTGATAATTCATCAGCACGCATATAAACTGGAAGTGAAGAAATCCAAAAAGCTTTTGGGCAGTGGTTGGAAGCTCATGCTGACTGCTCAAGACAAGCAAGAACGCAGAAGCGGACCTACAAACTGATCCCCACGAAGCTCTAAGGGAACGCTATTTTGAGAGGTGGCAGCCTGACGCATTCCCGAAACATCAGTTTCCTACTCCATGATCAAAACACTAGAATGATTAGAAGAAAGGAGCAAGGAAGAATTTAAGAACTGAGTAAAGACAGAAGGATTGAGCTCATGAGTCTACAAATATCTGGAGAACATTTCTTAGCAAAAAATCTCAATCATTAAAGAATTAAGGGAATTACATCAGGAGGTGGCAGATCGCGTTGCTTTTGACATGCAGCAGGAGCTGGTTCTGCTCTTACCCAGTGTCTGCACTATGGATCTTTTGAGCACCCACAATATCTCTCCATTTTAAGAGCGGCATGCTGCTAAGACTTAAATAGCCTGTGCAAATAGCCAGAATACCGCAATGTAATAAAAAAAAATCATAAATTATGATCAATATGTTGGCTGTTGATTTCTAGAGCGGCATGCTGCTAAGACTTAAATAGCCTGTGCAAATAGCCAGAATACCGCAATGTAATAAAAAAAAAATCATAAATTATGATCAATGTTGGCTGCTGATTTCTAGCAATTGTTCTAAAACACTTACTACCGACACAAAGAAATTTAGAGATATGATTACATAAGAGCTAGATTTCAACAAAGCCCGCTTGTACCAACCTGCAGCTTGCACACATCAACTAAAGGAACAAATTAAAGAACATCATCTGTTCATTTTCCCATTACTGACTCAAATGTCATAAATTTAACGCAGCAGCCCCAACAGCAAGGCAGACAGCTTGACGAAAATGAAAAATTGCCAGAGTCAGAACAATGTCTGGGCACCTCACCTCTACTCGTTTAATATCTTCTTCCAGAACACTTAGCTCCTTCTGGATCTGCTCCAATTGCTGTGGACAAGAGAACGGGAGAAGCCTAAATCAATCTGCACTGCACCACCAATACAAATTACAGTTTTTTCTGAGAGGAACCTGAACTACTTTAACTTGCATGCTCAAGTAGATTCAAAAGTCACTAGGCAGGAAGTTCATACGCATAGATTAACATAAGTGTGCACACACAAACCACATTCAAGACAAAGCTGATACTGTGAAACTGCAAAACAAGAGCATCAGGTACTTTGGTATCAATCACAGAGACACACATCATTCAAAGTAATACTATTACGCTCCTCTAGCATCTTTCATGTAAGGCATTTATAACTGTTTTACAAACACTGAACATAATTAGAGAAAAAACACCACAGAAGACAGCAATCATTTCTCCCTTCTGCAAAATACAAGATGTTTCGCTAAGACATATTAAGAGTACTTCTCTCGTTAGCAATTAACCTGCCATTTGCCAGCTTAAATGTACTGATAAAATTTTTGGTTTGGTAAAAAAACCCCAAAAACCAAAAAACAAGAAAACCCCCACAACACAAAAAAAAACCCCAAAAAACAACAAAACCCTAGTACTTACTATGAGCACAGAAAGTGTTGCTCCTGACACCAAGCAAGCACCACATGACATTTCTTTCAAATCCACTTACCTTGGATTACACCATAAACTCCAGCCAATTTGAGCGCTACCCCTGAAAGGGTCAGAAGGGGACTTCCTCTTTCACCAGCCAACACCTCCTTTCCCTTCTGTGTCACACATTATTCCAGTTTTTCAATTACTTTTCAATCAGTCAGCAACCTGGCCTCACTTGGCAACTGTGAAGTCCCAGGCTTAATCATCTACCCTTAAGCAAGAGCATCACCTACTTACCGGCTCTAATTCCCACCCTCATTCAGCAGGCATGTCCCATCCAAACACCCACGGAGCCTACAAACCCATGCACTTCTGCCACTGAGAGCTCCAAGTCTGGACCCAAACACACAGAACTCAGCTCCAGTACAGGCCTGGTTCACTAAGTCACCCAAGTCTAACGAACACACTGAGAACTGGAAGTCCATCCGACTCTCCTAAACTCACAGGACAAACCTGGGGACAGCCAGCACTGTGGCCTGTTGACCGGAAGCTGTCATCAAGCTGGCAAGTCCACGGAAAGACAATTAAGCACAGCACATTCTCTAAAGGCCAGACAAATTTTTGGCATTTCAAATTGACAAGGGAACACTAAAATGCCAATCCAACGTTACCTGTATTGCAAGGCATACTACTCTTGGCTGGAGATATTCCCAAGGCCATTTGGTAAGCTACTCCCAAAGAGTAATTCATGTGAGTGCTTAAGCTTGATCCCTTAAGTGGCATAAAGTTTTACTTAAGAAAAACACAATTAAACACACTCATCACTTAAACCTCTGCTATTCATCAGCATTCCAAGTATCTGTGTGCTCTGCCTTACATAATCCAGCATTTTAATTTGCCTTTTCAGGACCAAAAAAAAAAAGTTTCTGTCCCTGAAGAGAGTAGAAGGAAGGACTGCTGAGTCCACACCCATTTCTAACACAGCTTCTTCCCTGGAACGAGATGACATTGAATTTATATCCTAATCTCTCAGTTCTGAAGGTTTCAGTCTATTTAATTTGATTCACAAAAGCACAAGTTTAAGGTTTTAAAACTAAACTGCCCCAGTAATTTACAAACCACTACACCATAAAAATAATTCCATTTTCACTTGCAAAACCTACAGCAAGAATAGCAGGTGGTGCTGTAGCACCAAGATTAGTGGTAAAGTTAAGTGACACTTACACAGCACAGGTCCTGTCTGTACTCAGCTCTAGCAGACAAATACCATTAGACCCCTACTTTTATAAATCCCATTTAAAAAGAAGTTACAAAGTCACTTTGAACTTCCAAAATTACAGCAAGGAAATCAGCTATTCTACAATGTACCGGCTCACAGCCAAACTGGACAACTGAAAAATACCTGACAGTTGTTGCCATCACATAAACACGAGACCTTTACACAGGAACAAGAGCAAAGACCTTTTTATTGGCCAGCTTTTATTAGCTATTGCAGAGCCCAAAGTACACAATCCGGGGCTCCATTTACTCATTGTTCCTTCCAGTTACATTAAGGCAAGCAATTTGAACCTACCATAAACTTACTCAACTGTAGTAAGTCTAATAATTAGGGAAGTGTATTTCATGCTTGTTTTAGAAAGAGTCTTCTCATACCATTAGCATCAAATGAGTTACTAGCCCACATTAAGACTTTCTGCTTTTGATAGGTTGGCTCAAGGGTTTCATGGCTTAGCTTTAACCTATCAAAGACCTTCAATCAGTCCACATTCATTCCAATTAAACTTTGTAAAATAAGACTACTGATTTGTAACTGCCAGCCATTTAGGGACATTTAAGGAAAGCCAAATGAATTACAGCCTTTGCAGTGTACCCAGATTTACAGGCCCTTGATTTTTCACTCTGCTGGGCACGGAAAGCAAGCCAAGTCCTGTTCCAATGATGGGCAGAACCACACCTGCCAAACTTCAGATGAAGTCAGCAAAAACATTTAGACTGAACACATTCTATAAACTCTCTTCTCAGACACCGATGCTTTCCTAGAACTGAAAAGGCCAATGTGGACAAGGAGAAGGCTTCAGTTCATCAGTTAAACCTCATCTTTTTAACTCCATTGAGTGAACCACTTACACATGCATACAAAAGGAAAACAACACCCTCAAAATAGCCTGGGTTTCTTATAATCTCTGGAAAGGGAATTTCAGACACTCACATCAAGAAGCTACCACAGCAGGAGATGGAGGCTGTCACATAGGTCTTTTGAAGTAACCTTTCAGATTTAAACCCTTTTCACATCCACCAGGCAATCCCCCTCAAAACCCACTAGTTTGAGTCCAAAGCTTAGACACACATACAGAGAGTTCTTCAAAGACAACTCTCAGACCCAGACTATGCGGATGAAGGGAAATTCCCTGGTTGCTCAGAGACAGAGATATCCCACCATACTATTGAATTTCCATATAAGACTCTTGGGTGGAAGTATTAATTTGAACGTAGATGACACTGTACGCCAGGTCATGGCCAGTTTGATTTCAGTTGTCTATCTACCAACAAGCATAGCTGAGCACAGCACTGAGGCTTTATCATCGAGCTTCCCACTTTTGCTGGACTGAGAGCCCCTCAGGAGGCAGAGACTTCATCCTTTGTGTTCATAAAGAACAGTTTTAAGTGTCTGCAAAATAAAAGCTCAGCAGAGCCTGCCAGTGCCACAGAGACAACCTAGACAGAAATAGCCTAGAAAAATGCACGAGGGAAGGAGTCACACACCCTTCAGCAACTGTCTTTCCAATTCTAGAAAAAGCACAAGCAAAGAACAGCAGGTCATTTTCTACAGAAATGCTGCAAAATCATCAACACTGCTCCACTGAGCGGCTTAAACAGAGCACCTGGATTCACACGTTTGAAAACTCAAGTCACACTGTGTTCAGTCACACACCTTCAAGGCTCCAAGCCATAAACCTCAAGCATTCATCACAACGTGCACTGCACATCAAAGCAAACAGAGGAGACTATTACAGAGAAAGCATCTTTTCCCAGACACAGTCATTGCACCAACCAGGACAGAGCAAAAAGTATCATCTGTCCAGCTGAGGAGGAGAAATCAGGTGGTCTCTGTAGATAATCCCTTCGTTCTATCCCACAACTTCATTCATCCAATACAATCTCTTCCTACTTCTCCTTCTCCCATCAACTACTGCTCTAACAAACCTCAGTGCAAACTTAAGTATCAACAGCTGAATCTCTCAAAGGTACGCAGTGCAATTAATTTCTTCCCGTAGAACACAATACGTCGACAACAACTCTATAGCAAGTAAGATAAATTTCTCTCTCTGAAAACCAGCTGCAAGTCCCATCTGTCTCTGGGTTTTCCTTCCCTTAGTGCTTTGGATAGAGTCTCTTACATGGGGCAACTATGGTAAGGAAGTCGTCTTCAGAGCTTAGAGAGATTTTAGTCTTCTGAATTAATTAAAAATCTCACTTATTTTGACACAATACCTCATTGTTACAAAGTCTTTGCATAAGTGGAACACAGTGCAAGGTTTCTTTTAATATACAGGCAAGAATATTTGAGCCTCCACAAGTTACTTTCAATGGTGAAACACGACATCCCAGCCTTTTAGACACATGCGCAGTCCACCTGCAACACATTTATCCGCAGGGAACGTTTCTTCTCTCTAATCAATATTTCCTCCAAATAGTAAATATCTCCTCTTAACCACGGAAGAGCTATGAGACAGGTTTGAGAACAACGTCCTGGTTGAGTTACTTAAGACACAGAATTCCTAAGAGTAGGAGGAAGGAGATGCCTGGCTGATCAAAAATTCATTTCATATTTTGAATTTTCCTATCTCTCATTTAAATCCTCCAGTTTGGGTTGCAGGAGTAACGCTTTGAAGGCTTACTGATAGGGTCTGATAAAAAAAAAAAGTGACAAGATGATATTTGGGGCAGGGAACAAAGCTGTCTGAGCATTTAGATTGTCTTCTACATCAGTGTACATGCTACTTGCTTCTAGTACAAGATTGCCCCCTCTTTCTTTGAAAAGACCTTCCACTGCAGCAAGGAGAGTCAGCTGTTATACACCAAAGCTGATATGACAATCTTTGGCTTGCTGCTCATGCTTGGGCTGTACCCTTGGCTTATTATCACTGCAGTCAGAGCTCGCTTCTCTCACTGAGCAGTTTAGAAACGCAAATAGATTTTAAATAGTAGCAGTTATTTAAGCACAGTGGATAGGAAAGAGATTACTATAGCTGTAAATTCACCCCAGGAGTCCTGGAATGTAATCAAGACTATATGACAACATAAGGGCATGACTGATTTCCAGTTCTGTCACCTACTCTTGCTTACTCATTAGTTCATCCATGTGTGTATGCACAGAACAATAAGACTCGACAGATGAAGTGATTAACACAAGGTAACGACATCCCCAGAGAATTCATGCTTATAATTCCCTGCAATTATCCCACAGTAACTAATAACTCATCTTATTTTTAGTCTTTAACATGCTCACAATATGGGGTAAGTGAAGACAGCTGGATAGATACATGCATTTGAGGCTGAAAGGAACGATGACGATTCTGAAATGCTGAGCAAGCATCCAGCGCTGCAAACCTGAGACATTTCATGGTTACTTCTCTGCTCCAGGACATTTACCAGCTAAAAACAGGCCACATGCATTAGTAGACATGAAAGAGGTCTTGTCTGTTTAGGTATGAGAGACTTAATGTGACATTATTAGAAAGAAAAGAAGCCCCACAAAACACAAGAAGTGAGTGACAGCTGCCAAGAGAAACACAAATGCAGCTCGGGAATGTCACCTGTAAGTTCTAGAACTTTGTGATACTCATCAATAAGCTCAGTATTCTCCTTCAGTAAGCAAATGGTGCTACTTGACAGAAATAACAAATACGCCCCATCAGGTTGCTGAGCCAGCGATGTTTTAGGACAAACTAGAGATAGTTTCTATGGTCATGTCTAACTTCACCTGCTAACATTCAACTCCTGACAAGACAATTCATAAGACCTCTTATTAAAGCGATGAATACAAAATCAAGGTGATTTTTTTTGTATTAACTGATATTATCAGTTCTCTCAAAGTGTTTAAACTGAAAGAAATGTGATCACTTAAAAACAAACAAAGTTAAACTTGCGAAAGCATTTATACAACACAGCTAAAGGCGTTAAAACTCCGGCATTAAAATATGAATTTTAATAAGTCTCTAGTTGTTACACTTGTTCTCCCTTGAACATAGGAATTAAAACACCCACAAAGTATTTCATTATTTAGCTTGACCTAACAGGCTCCTTGAATCCTTGATTTCAACAGAAGAGACCGTCAGAGCCAAAAAAAAAACCAAGAAGAGTGTGCATTCAATTCCCTTTGCACACAGGTGGAAAGGCACACACACAGCCATGCAAGTTTGCCTTAGAGACAACCAACTAGTGTAGATAATCAATACACTTCTCCCCTTCAAAACTATCTGTTATTTTGCACAGAAAGTATTTTCAAGCTTTAGCCACTTGTTTTCAATCTCTTTCAAAGAAAGAACTTTTTTTCCTATTACTATTGTCAAGGATTACTTTTTTTGCCACATTGCCATAGGTCAAAAAGAAAGCAAAATATGTAAACTTAAAAGGACTTCCAAATAGCTTTGTCAAAAAAACATACAGTATATTTTAGCCTGAAAGATCAATGTTTTGCAAAGTTATGAACACATCCAAACAGGATTTCTAATAGAAACTTCTGCTGGTGTTGAACTTTACATTTATCTTCTAGAGAAATTATGAAAGCATAAGAGAGAGAAGAATTTGTCAAAATACTTGACTATAATAATATTCTGAATTCTTAAGTACCAGTCTATAAAAATTCTCCGAGATAAAAATAAGCTCAGAAGCCACCATTTCATGAAGTCAGGAGCAAAAAAAACCCAAACAAGCACAAATCAAAACATCAACAAAAACAACAAAAAACCCCACAGAATTTATCACTGAAGTAAGCAGGGATGGTTACAGGTGGTTACCTACACGCACTGAATATGCAATAAAATACTATACAGGTATATTAACTCTAAGGCAGTATCGGTATTAACAACGCACTTAGTCTCTCTGTGAGAACCTGCAGTATGTAGTAACTAAAATCTGTTAATAAAGCCATGCAATAAATAATATTCAGAGAGGCACATGGGAACAAAAAAGCTACCAGGCAACATTACATTCTTTCAAACACTTAAATCAAAAATTTGAAAGCAGCACTCTTGGTGAGGCACAAAAGAAGCTTTCTAATTCACCAAGAACTTAACGTTACAGCTGTGGCTCACTGAGTGAAACAGCAATTACTCTGCAGGTATCATTACTAGAGCCAGGTGTGAATTCGGAAAGGAGAAAAGGGAGTGTTCCTGCCCTCCCCAGAATAAAGCCTGCTCATATGACTCAGCTATGTTCAATACAACGTAAACGTGTTCCAGGGTCCACACATGTTCCTTGAGTTCTGCCCTTATTTCTTAACCAGTCACCTACTACAGCATCAAAGGAAATTACTGTAAACTTTGGAGCTCTGATAACGGCACAGTAAAGCAGAGGCAGGTTAATACAGTTACTTCAGTTCCTCTCCCCAGCTTCCAAACCAGCCTCTCGGGCTTTCTGCACTCTGGGATACATCTTCACCGCCAGCAGAACCCATGCCCTTTCCCAAATAGTAGCTTCTCTACTATCCACACAGAAAACTCCCTCTGGAAAGGAGTACTTGTCACAAACTCCATCAGCTACAGGGATGACACCTTTGGACTTACAGGAAGAGGCATCAGCTCCCTTAATTTACTCTGTAGATGTAGCTTGACTGATGAAGACAGACGTTCACATCTTTCTAAAACTATCCTACTCACTGGTACGTACTTGCCATGTTTCTGCCTACTGGTTCTCATCTTTCTTACCCTTATCAGGTGAAAAGGCTGCTAGCAGCAACTCTGACAAGTCCTCATTTCCCCCAAAATAAATGGCAAGGCCAGGCATTAACCATTATGGCAAGGATAGAGCTGACAAGCCTGCACCGATGTCTTTTGAGATGTGACAGTCTGCATTTCACATTGGAATATAAAGGGGGTACAAAATAACATTAGGGGAAGTCTTGGCAACAGATGCAGAGGAGATGGGAAAGGTTTTCCAGGTACTGAAAAACAGTCAGTGGTGGAACACAGCACTGCAGCACGTTGAAGAACAGAAGCTACGCAATTCCCCTTCCCTTCATCCTTCCCCCGCAGCACACACAGACATCTGTATCAACAGGCCCTCCTTCCGAGAGAGTTGCTCTAACTCACTTTCAGCTGAGACAAGGTGAAAAAGCAAAGTCATCACTGACTTCATGGTACTGCTCCAAAGATCCTTGCACTTGAATCACCACAGGAACACTCAAGGAAGAGCCCCCTAAGCTCGGTATGAACCTCCTGGAGCACCTACTTCTCAAGTCACCCCCCAAAGGCAGGAAATTTCCCCAGTATCTTAACGTTCCCTCAAGCTGCATCAAACCCCGATGGAAGGTGTTTAATGATGGACAATGGCCAGAGCTTGCATTAGTTCTGCAGTAAAAATAGGCCGAGCTTCCAAAATTCTTTGCATAATACTAAGTATTACAGATACAAGAAAATGAAAGTAGATATTCTGAAGATTTGAGAGGTGCTTGCACATTAAGCCACCAATTTTTATGGTGGCTTTTACTAGCATGAAAAAACATGGAAGCTTAAAGATACCTCAAAGGTTTTGAGCAGTGCTTATGTCTCTGCTCTTTAAGCAAAGAAGTAACAGCACTACGTATTTCTCCATTTTTTTTCCCAGCCCTGAAGGATCAAACAACTAGTATGCTTCACAAAAACAGGATGAGAAGTGGAAGCATGCCATTTTGTCTTCACCAGTACGTTTAGTGCACTAGAGAATATCTCGGCTCTCACATTTTCCTTTGACATTCAGGCACCCTAACAAACAGTATTTTCATCACTTCTCACAGGTTACTATGCCTAGCCTAGTAGGTCTCACACTCAACAAACATAACTTTATCTTGGCCTCAGCTCTCTTCTTTGGATAGTTCTTTTCCACTACCCTTGTTGGTTCTGGTCAGAAGGTCACTGGCGGACAGACTCTAAACAACTTTGGGATGACTCCCCAGCCAAATCCTCAGTCCATGCTGGGCAAGGCTTCTTAACACCCCTTCACCTTCACATGGTTCAAGTCTGACCTTACAGTCACACTGCTGGGTCTTATGCTCTTCACATCTTTTATCAGAAGACATGACCTCCAAAAAAGCTTGTCCTTCTGCTGTTTACACCATCGTTTTTCTAGGTTTCTGGGATATTTCTGGTATTAGAGTTTATGCACTGCACGACACTATAAATATTAAGTCCCAAACCATGAAACACTCTGTATGTGATTAGGGAATATTTTCACATTCCTTGGGATGTTCATTTTGGGACAAATAAGAAAAAAGCACAGAATATTCATTCTTTTATGGCAGAGCATTAGTCATGGCATTTGATGTACTAAAATTAAAAAAAAATGAGAGTTACAATAATTTAACTCCTTCCCCATCTTTGTTTTCCCATTAAAAAAAAACCAAACATTTCAAGAATTTGATGTAAATTTACAGGGAGGAATCTCTATCTGCCCACATGCTTCACCAAGTGTGAGACAAAAAGGCAAGCGATTAAAAATTGAAGCTGTCACGTGTAAAGAGATTAATTTTCCTTAAAACTCACATTGTCCTCTGCCTGAGAGTTCCCCAAACACGCCTTGTCTTTTTTTTCTTTCCAGAAATAATACCAGGCTAACACATCACTTAAACAGAAACGAACTGCTAGAAAGCAGACAACACCTCACCCACTGAAATGCAAAGCAAGTTACCTCTCGTTTGTTTCTCCTGGCAACTTTGAGAAATTCCATGAGGATCTGCAGTTGGGCAGCATGGGACTCCTGGAACACAGTAAATAAGGAAGTGTAACTCTTCTACATACATTAAGAGAAACAAACATCCATTTTATACACAGAAATCCACATTCAACACAGGAACAGCTTTCATTTAGAGGGGAGAAAGAGAAAATAGCTTATTAGGGCAGTTTTAAGAACAGGAATTTTATTTTGCCTCACAGGTTTACAAACTGTGAAGTATTTATACAAAAACACCTCCCTCCAAAATTAAATATTTGTGGTTTCGTGCAGAGATTACTGCTGATAATTTCTTCTGAGTGGAAGACAATAATGAAGTCACTGATGAAACTAATACAGCCCTTTCCAGTCTTTCCATTGCAGGTAATTGATCTCAGCCATCTCCTTAACACTTTCACCCACATTGGCCACAAACTTGACAGGGCAAAGTAAGGGAAGCACAAGAGGAAATAAAAATAAAACCTATATTCCAGCATTAATATAATCCTAATCCTATCTCATCATTCTGAGACTTAGTTTCACAACCTACCAAAATATTTAATAATAAAGGACTGTGAATATATACTCAAAGGATCAAGACATAGGAGCACACAGAATCCATTAAAGGCAGATGGGGCACGACAAATAAAGAGATTAGAATGCAAGACGACTACTTTTCTGAGATGATTTTCTTCCTCCCCACCACTGTGATGATAACGAATGTGAAGGAAAGAAAAGAACTAGAAAGGAAAAATGATTTTAAATTGTTCTTTAAGTGTAAGGTGTATTTTTGTGGGGTTTTTTTATAGCTTAGTATCCTTAAAAAATAATCCTGCTCAGAAACATCCATACCCTCAGTCCTCTGCCACCTTTGTTTCAGATTTGTCACGAAAAGGTTTGAGAAGAAAAAAAAGCACAACATATTTTACTGTGAACTGAGAAACTGTACTCCCCCCATCTGCTCACTGAACTACAATTAAAAAGAGTTACATACATACAAGTCTCCACACAAGAAGGCAAGACAGTAGTGTGACCAGTAGTCAGTAAACGTTTTGGTTTACTTTCCTTCCACCAGAACCACAAGTTCATAAATACTGATTCTGTAAGAGTGAGATAAGCTATTCCAAACACAACTCTTCCTCACCTGTTTTAAATCCATCCTCCTATCCAAAGCTCCCTAGGTCAAATTTTGTAATCTGGTTTAATTTAGAAGGTTTGCTTCTCGTAACTGGAAAAAGATCACTTGAGACCAGCAGCATGGAATGGCCAAATACATGAGAACTATCCCAAATCAACGTCGTTAAATCATAGGGAACAGCTTGCCTCATACCATTTACATCTTCAAATCAGCCTCAGGAACAAATCGTCTGAACTTTTCTTTCAAGCATTACTGAAAAAAAAAAAGCCTTCAGAGCTGGCAGTTATTCAGGCTCTATTACTTCCAGTAGAAATCAAAGAGGTGTGATCTTTTTCATCTGTTCATTGGGTTTATTCTTTAACCTATATTTTGGACAACTTCTCACTGACTGTCAGAAAGGTCTGATATTTGCCTGTGCAACAGTCAATTAGCAAACATCTTCATATGCATTTTTCTGTCCTGCCACTTTCTCTTATTTGTTCTGATGTTCCCTGCTCTTTTACATAACCCTGTCAGCAGTAATACTAAAAGCACGCAATGGGTGTCAAAACTAAAACATTAGTTTGCCACAAAGGTCATGTGAAATGGCCAGCTCTTCAAACACACACCAAAATGCAAGAGAAAATCAAGCAATTAATTTGGCAAAAGAAACTTACTTCAAGAAGATCAACGCATGAAAAAACAACCTGCTAACTAGACAACAGTGGTCATTTAAATAAAACAAGAGAAACTTCTTACTGCTTCCAACTGCTTCTTCTTTTGCACCAGCAGCTCCAGCATCAGGTTGACATTGGCCAAGTCAAGATTGTCTTGATCAGTCCCCAACAAGTCTTGAATTATCTGCCACCTATGGCCATTCTAGGAAGAGACAAGAGATGTTGGAGAGACAGTGAGTTCAAGCCATGCAGGGCTGCATCCACCAACAGACACTGAAAAGCAACACCACAATAGTTCATCTCTTTGTAAAAATTTCAAATCGATTTTCAGGAATAAGAATTCTTGAATCTCCGATATGTACAGGACATAGCTCTTCTGTCCTGCTGTGTAACTGCTTTTGGTTGTTGCTTTTTTTTGGAAGATATCTGCACTTTATGAGAGCATAGCTGCTGCTCCTAGGAAGAGATTACCTCACAACCACAGTTTTATCTGATTTGTGTCCTAGTTTCTGAAAACATGTTTCTATGGGGAGAAAGAAAACACACATTTATCCAAGCTTAATTGAATTACATCTATCTGAAATACTTTCAGGCTGTTTGCATTTCTTGTCAGTAAAAAGTTAAAAAAAGATAACTTTTGGCACAGGAAAACCTGAGTAATAGGTTAGTGCTAAAACAGCCTTACATCAAAAAACCTCCGGAACCAACAGGAGCAGTTGAAAGGTCTTTAGGTTTTCTAAGAAAGTTGGATTTAAAAAAAAAAAATCCCACCCTGTAAAAGCTATGATACTAGATCAAGACATTTAAGTTTCCAAGACCTAGAAATGCCACCCTGTCTAAACCAGATATGTTCTCAGAGGCACTAGCCTTTTTGTATTCACTAGATTAATAAAATGTAACACCCACACGGAACACAATTTTTTTTTAACACAACTTTCAACAGAACCTGTGGAAACTACACAGGCAAAAACTCAATCTGGAACAACTGGAAAAGTGTAATTTTTAAGCAAGTCAACAAGATTTGAGACAAATTTTAACATAGTGATGTGCTAGTTAAATGTACCACTGCTAAACTACTCGGAAAGCTCCAAAGATGCCTTAACACGATTTTGTAATGAAACAAATCCATGACCAACAAATGGTCCATTTGCTGCGACATGTCTTCAATGACTTAATACTGGAAGTATGATGAGAGGAAAGGCACAATACGGCACAGGTAAAACAGCAAGGCTGCTCTTTTTAGAGACGTCACTACTGCTTATTTGCCACAAAAAGCTGGATACAACACAGCGATGGGCATGAAGTGAGAGGAGATTTCCACTTACTGGTAGTTATCTAGAACAGATGCACTTATGGGCTTAGTTTTTAAAGATGTGCCATGAAAAAAAGTAGAACCAATTACCCAAAAGTTACTGTACATGCTTTCAGGTTGTTTGCATTTTAAACCAGATATGGTTTAGGTATATTTTATACTGAGTACGCAGTCAGTCTCTAAATTAATAACACTTCAATAGAGGGAGTTTTTTAACTGATAATAGCAGGAGCTCCATGATTTTTAATATTACTTTGCAACCCTGTTTGCAAATTACAAAAGTCAAGGAAGTCAGACATAGCAAGACAAATATGCAGCTTTTCTGGTTAATGTTAGCTGTTCTTTTTGATCTCAGTGTAGAAGAGCATCCACTGCTGCTGTGCAGGGGTTTTCACAAAGGGAAAACATAGATCATGCTCCGATTCTGTGACACAAAGCAAGTCTAGAAGATATTCAGGCAGTTTCTTCTGGGATCGGAGCCAGAACACCACTACTCCGAACACATCCTTCTCCCTCTTGTGGCTGGTATTAAGCCTCCCTTCTATTTCCATGTACAACAGAGCTTCTTGCACATGACCAGACAAGCCCACGGCACTTCCAATATTCCATTACTCTCCTTCTAGCTGTAATTTCCAAAGCTGAATTTAAATTATTACCTTTAAACAAGTGTGCTTCCATGGGTAGTTTCACAGGTTATATTCAATATACCATATGACACTTTGCTATGCTAAGACAGCCTGTCTCTGCACAAAAAATGCTGGCAGGAGAAACGAGAGTTAATAAGGTTGAAGGGATCTAGTGCCTCTGATATTAGTCTTATTTCCTCATAAAGTAAGTTAAAAGCATCAGCTCAACAGCATAATTTCTTCTAAATTAAACCACATAATGACACAATTGCTGTACAAAACCATTACATAAATATAAAGTAAAAAAGTTGGAACATACGGTGCTACTCACTGAATGGTCCAATTTGAGTCTTTTCTCCTCAGATCTTTGCTTCTGTTTAAGAATAAGTTCATTGACTAAAACACATAAATAAGATGTCAGAGAAGAGATGGATTTAAAGTTCACAAAGCAAACAAGTACAAGATTCTACTGCAGTCCTTCTACTTTAGTTATTAATTCCACAGTAAGTTTATCAGTAATTAATATAACAGAAGATGTCTCCACTTTTTTCCCCCCCACCAGTTTATTCCTTGATTTTTCTGGTAAAGTATATAGACTATTAAAAAATAAAATCAACAAATACAATGCCTGCACATTGCCCAAACTACTTCAGTTCCTTTTTTTTAAGCACACACAGCCTTTTGACAAAGTTTTTCAACTCTGAGGCAGAAGTACATCGCAGCAGAGTATAAGGGAGATAAAACATGAACTGGTTGATTACAGGCTGAAGAGAACAACTTCTTCCTTTAATCACGACGCACACTTCTGAAGATACATTTTTGCTACAACTTTATTTCACATCAATTCAGTGAACAGTGCATAGAGAGAATAACCTCAACCCATCACACATACGTATACAAGGCATGATTTGCCCTTAGTGAAGCCCTACTGGCTGTCACCAGTCACTTCGTTATTTCTCACCTGCCTCAGTACAGGTACCAGGAGGATCTGCTCCATGGTTTTACCTGGCACAGAGGTGAGGCTGACTGGTCTGCAGTTCCCTGGGTTTTCTCTGCTTCCCTTTTTAAAAATGGGCGTTACGTTTCCCCTTTTCCAACCTGTGGGAACTTCACCACGCTGCCACTTCTCAAATACGATGGCCAGTGGCCTAGCAATTTCAGCTGCCAGTTCCTTCAGGACCTGCGGATGTATCCCACCAGGTCCCATGAACCTGTGCACCTCAGGTTCTCCAGGCGCTCCCAGACCTGATCTCTCCTACGCTGGGTAGTTCCCTCAGTGACTTGCATGGTGTGACTCAAGTGGTTACCAGTGGTTACCAGGGAAGGCTGAAGCAAAGAAAAGTAATCAAGTACTTCAGCCTTCTCCGTGTCCTCCATAACCAGGTCACCTGTATGTTTCCAGAGAGGCCCCACATTCTTTCTCATTTTTTCTCTCACATACCTGTAGAATCCTCTTGCTATTTTTAATGCCCCAGATACGATTCCATCAGGGCTTTAGCTTTTCTAACCTGGTTTCCGATTTCACGAGCAATTTCCTTGTAATCATTCTAGGTTACCAGTCCTTGCTTCCACCCTTTGTAGATTCCCCTGTTGTATTTGATTTTGGCCAGGAGGTTCTTGTTTACCCACACAGGCCTCCTGGCATTTTTTCCTGATTTCTTCTTTTTAGGGATGTGGTGCCTTTGAGCTTGGTGGAGAGGATCCTCAAAAGTCAACCAGCTTTCCTGGGCTCCTAATGCCTCCAGGGCTTTGTCCCGTGGTGTGCTACCAAGGAGGTTCCTGAAGAGGCCAAAGTCAGCTCTTCTGAAGTCAAGGGTTTCAAGCTTGCTGAGCTTCTCCTTCTTCACTGCCCTTAGGATGGAAAACTCCACCCTCTCATGGCCACTGCAGTCAAGGCTGCCCATGAGCTGAACGCTGCCCACCAGTCCCTCCCTGTCGGTGAGAACCAAGGTCTAGCATGGCACCTCTCCTTGTTGGTTCCTCTATCGCTTGGAGAAGGAACTTATCATCAATGCATTCCAGGAATCTCCTGGATTGCTTATGCCCTGCTGTGTTGTCTCTCCAACTGATACCGGGGTGGTTAAAGTGCCCCATGAGGACCGGGGTTTGTGAAAAAGCAGCGACTCCTATCTATGAAGGGCTTTGTCCTCCTGGTCAGGTGGTCTGCAGCAGACCCCCACTGTGATGTCTCCTACCATTCCTTTCACCCTGACCCACAGGCACTTTGTCTCTTCATCATCCCTTGGCAGGTGGAGCTTCATGCCCAGGCCTAAATGAGGGTGCCCGTTTCAGAAGTGTTGCTTGGCTGCTGTGGCTTTTTATTTATTAAATGGGTAACCTAGCATAGGAAATCTGGATTTGATTTAATTTTGATATTTCACACCACAATGCATCTCCTTAGATCTTTCCTCCTCATAACTACCATTTAAACTCAATTTCCAGTGGGAACATATGCCTCCTCTGTTTAAAAAACAATCCGTTAGGATTGTGTATAGGTGTGTTTATGAATAATTTCTCTGTATTTAATTTACACATGCATGCGTCACATGGACTTCACTGTAGTAGCCAAAATAGCACAAGATGTAACTCAGCCTCCCCCACTTCCGTGTTCATGCTTTGTAAACAGGGTATGTTCTTGATTATTAGACAAACAGTGCAAGAAAACAGAAGTAAATAAAGAGATTCAAATCTCTAGCCATAAGAAAAACATCTTTGTTTTGCTTTTCTTAGTATGCAGAGGCAAGTCAGTCTCTCTACTGTAATTCAGCACACAGAACTGCTGGAGGCAGTGGAGTATTAACAATTT